AGTAGGCTGTATCCTTTATTGACATCTTCACCGCAAACACAGTCTAGAACTAAGTCAACTCCATCTGGCAACAACCTATAAGAATGTTAGAAAAACATTGATTTAATTTATGATAAAACTTAATAAAACGAATAAGAAATCATAAAACACAGAAATTAACAAATTCTTGCAAATCTAATTCACTTATAAAAATCACCCAAGCATTATTTTATTTTATGCTGTCATTTGAAAATAATGTTAGAGAAACATTGTTTTATGTTCTAGCAAAAATTAATGAAGTTCATGGGAAATCGTAAAACAAAAGGCAATAACATCTTATCAAAAATATAGCAAACTGTCATCATTTGATTCGCAATAACTGAGAGATGAATATTTTCGTATAGAAATGCATTTCGTTGTTAGAAATAACACAAATCTAGGGTAAAAATATTGTTTCATTCTGATCTTTGAATTGAAAAATGTTTAACTTTTTTATTAATTAATTTTCAAATAGTTGAGTAAAAATGAATTTCATTAACGTTTAATGTCGTGGAATTAACGTTTAACGTTAATTCCAAGATTTATATGTTTGTTTAAATAGAATCTTGAAGTAGTAAGAATAATTTTAGAATACTTTGTACAGTGTTCAAAAATCAATAAAGAAATAATTAAAATAGATAAATTTTGGGCTTAAATAAACAAGACTTTTGATCTTATGATCGGATTTTAACTTTTATTTCTCAAGAACTATTCAAGTGATTTCCCTCAAATTTTGTATTTTATTATTTAGAATTACAAACTTTAAAATGATCGAAATATCTGCATAGCTTAAAATCCAAAATTTTTTCGTCTAAACAATACATTAATAAATAATAAAGAATTATTAAGGATTCTTTTTTACATGAAATTGTGTTCGGAATTCGACCGAATTTCATTTTATCCTATACCGTCGGAAAAAAAGTATATTTATTCAGAGAAAATGAAGGTTTCTGTCTGATCTCGTGACTTAAAATAACGTCTTCACTAATCAGCATATTTAAAGTTCAGATCTCAAACCATTGAGATTGAGTTTTATAGTAATTGAAAATCCGATTAATAAATCAAAAGTTATTAAAACTCCTTATTTTAATTTATTTATTATTATTATATTTTTTTTTTTTGAACAAATTTTGAAACAGGGGAAGGAGTTCCCTAATAAGGTTTCACCTCTGAAGGGTATTTCTCTTAATAGTTCTACACACAATATAAATACAAAAAGAAAATACGAAATCATCAGTCGAATATCGCAGATAGCTTTCGATTCAAAAGACATTTTGTGAGAAATTAAGATATGTGAGAAAAGCCATGAAACTCTTCTTATGGGCCAGGTCTTTTGAAATCACTGAATTAATGGTGTAAATTTATAAGTCTTTATACAATTAGTAACGTTCTTAACATAAACGAGTTTTTAAATAAAATGGAATGTTTACGAACATGTTTTATTAACAGCTAAATATTATTTTTTGAAATTAATTTTCTCCAACTCAATGGGTTTATGCAAAGTGTTTATATCAGTCCTATTGTTTCAGATATGTAGGAAAAAACTGAAACTTTTCATCACGTTTAAAATTATTAACTAAGCATAAAGGAAAAATAAGAGATAAACTCGTAGGTATTGGGCACGAAATATTGATGAAACGTGATTGACTGAAACGAAGTATCTGTACTAAATACAGAAAAGGAGTTTGATAAAAGTGGAAAAAGGATAAATAATTTCTTATTCGTTGATTTACAAAGCCGAAATTCATTTTATTTTATTCAAGAATTGTCAAACCCTATCGGAATCTTGTAATTTTGTATCCAACTGAGAAGACTAAAGAGATAACGAATCATGCACTGAGTCAAACTAACCACCGTGGAGGAATTTTTGACTAAAATTAACCAGCTTCGTTACGTGGTGAAGATAGCCATAAAGGCCTGTCACGGTTAGCTTAAGATGAAGAGGAGTTTTCTTTAACATTGAGTTCAGTGTTGAAATTTATCAAAATACGAATAAACTAGTCATTCTCGAGGTTTAAACATGGGTCCCTTCATCAAGAACTTTGCATATTCTAAGTTATTTCGGTTCAGTTGCTAACAAATCTCAATTATTGAGGTGTTTTTTTTTTAAATAATTTTTCTTTTCTTTTCATGATCTGAAATGACTCTTGCTCATTTTTTTATACATAATTTTGGCACACACCCTGAGAAAAATTACGGTTAATACTACCAGAATAAGGTAACGCGGGTAATAAAGACACTGTTTACCGTGTTTCTAGCTCTATGGGAACACCAAAATTCTCGGAAATTTTTACCGAAGCTCTCTGATAATGATTTTGGTAAAATTACTAATAAAATACGGTTTTATAAAATGTGATAAAATTTGATAATTTTATCATCATGCTTTAGAGCACTGCATAAAAACCACCTATTCGGTTATAAATTTGTTTTTCAGTTTTGTATTTTTTTTTACTAAATGTGTGGTAAAAACAATAATTTTAAAAGCCAAAATTTCCAGTAAACAGTTACTATATGAAGGGAAAAATTACCAAATGAATGGCTTTAGTACCATATATTTTGGTTTCTATGACCAGAATTATGTTTTATTTTTCCCCCTCTTTCTTTTACCAGAAATGTTATTACCAAACACCACAGTAATTTTACTAGAATTCTTTTCGCTACGTACAACGCAAAGCTACTTTTGTTTTTAAATGAAAGCTACAAGAATTTTTACTTACCACACTCCCGCCTGCTGAGTGTATTATGACTTTCTGCCCTTTTTGTAAATTTCCAATATCAAATACTAGACAATAGGCAACCACGTAATTCATGAGGATTGACACGGCTTCTTGAGCACCCATACCTGGAGGCAAAGCGTACACATATTTTGCCTGAGCACACACAAGTTCTGCCCATGCTTTGTATTCCGTTAAAGCTGCAACGGTATCTCCTACCTGTGAATGAAAAACAAAGAAATATCTAAGAAACGCCTTAAATAATTATATTAAATAATCCAACTTTCAAGTTTCATAGAGAATAAAAAATATGGTTAAAATTTAAGATGGATTCAAACGGACGCCACTCACAATTATTCAAAAAATCATACTTGTATTTTTTTAAAGATTATTGTGCATTAAAAATCCATTGAAAAAGAACCTTTGAAGCTTATAAAACATTAAAATCAAGAGTTATAAAAAAGGGAAAACTTCATTCAAAGTTTGATTATTTTTTATTTATGATCTCTAAAAAAATAGAAAATCGGGTAAATATTTTCCGAGATACACTGTAAAAAATTCGGGATCAAATTACCATATGAAGTATCGACACTTTGGCTGCATCATCTGTAAAATCCCTTTTACAGTAAAATCCATTTTCAGATAGTCTTAAATCTATCCCAATTAAATGATGATGCTATTATTTTTAACTTTTGGGAAAATATGCGTCTGATTTTAACTTCGTATTTTATATTTCTGCAAATGTCAAATGTGAATAACATTATCTCACTATTTAAAAAAATAATAACTATGTAAAACTAATGAATGTAACTATTTTCTTTTTAATTGCTTTTAAACCAGGGACTCTTGACGATTTTTTTTTACTTTTCATTGAGAAAAATTCGGTTAATGCTAACAAGGGATTGAGTTGAGACTAATTGCTATGTTCATTAACTCATATAAAATAAATCTTTTAATAGCCGATTTTTACTTATTTTTTTATACTTTTATTTATTTTTTTGTTTCTGTTGTAATTCAAAGAAAATGAGGGAAGGTTTGAAGCATTTTGAAGAAAAGATATTTTCTAATAATGTATTATTGAATAAAACTTGGTTAATTCGGATTTTAAAAATACTTCTGACATCATTATACAGTAAAATGAAAAAGTTGGACTCCTAAAGTTATCATGGTATTTTGAAATTATTGAATCCTTTGCAGGTTGAATTCTGTAATGTCTTCGTTTTTTACTTACCATTTATTGCAAATAATGCAAATTCTTTTCTTTCAAACAGATATCACAACTTAGATAAGCCTAGTCTATAGCTTATTCCGAAATTATAAAATTCTATAACAGCTAAGAATTATTTACCTTTTATAGATATGTTGTTCCTCGACAAAAAAAATGAATAAAATATAAATAAATGAAAAATAAATTAATTAAAATAAATGAATAAATCGAAAAAACAATCAAATAGATTAATTTATGAACTGTCAAATGATGATTCATTTAATTTATACTACTGTAAAGATAATTTTTGTCAGCTGAAGTTCTACAAGCACTGAAGGCCCGATCATTCCAATTTTTTTTAAAAATAAATTGCAATTACAAACTTTTTCATTTATTGAGATATTTTATTATTAAATTTATTAAGTTCAACAACAATTAACTTTCACGGTAATAATTTTCAGCTATACGTCTAAGAAAGATTTGCAACAAACTTTTTTGATATATTTATCAGTGGGAGTCAATATTTCCAATGCTATAATGAAACAGAAGCACATACATGTTAGTTAAAAGAAGAATGCTAATATTTGAAGATGAACTATAACGGAGGTTAATTAAATTGTCATTTTTGAATCATGATATTTCTTCGTTCTTTTTTTTATATATTAATAAAATATCTAATGTATAGAATACATAGTACGAGATATAATAGAATTATACTCGAATAGCAGAATTATACAAGGAAGAAGTTTGGTCTACTTTTCTGTTCTAGAAATATTTGTTTTTATAACAAAATATTTTTACAAAAAGATTTAAATTGCATATTGGGGTATCTATAACTAAGCAACAAATATTTTTTTTTCTCCCAATGCCCACCTGGAGAATAACCTTTCGTCATGAAGGCATCTGAAGTGCAGATTTTGTTGGCCACTTTTTCAAGGGGACCATATTAGGTGGGCCAACGTTGCTCCCACAGTGAGGACAGATAGTACAGAGAACGGAAGAACATCCATGCTTTGCCCGGAATTCGAACCTAGAACCTTTCTGATTCAAGACCAGTTTCCTGATCCCTACACTGGCCGGTCGGCAGTAACAAATATTTAGAGGTGGAATAAGATTTAGAGCGAGTATGCCGTGTTCCGAAGGTAGTTTTCGATAGTATTTGCTGAGTAAATTTGTATCCAGCAACTGCACTTTAATACGATTGTTCCATGTGAAAAAAAATTATTTTTCGAAAATTGATGACAAATATAACCGAAATGAAGGTGCACACAAAAAGTTTTTCGCTTATCATTACTTTAAGACTATTCAAGCGCAACAAAACCCAACATAATTGGCTAGTGTCAGTTTTTGCACCTTCCTTGTAAACCTCTCCATCTTTTCCAAGTGTTAAATAATTATATTTTAATTTCATCAGTTTTTATTAAAAAAAATTTTTTTTAATGAAAAATGCTTTAAAATTGAATTAATTATTCCGAATAATGTATTTTTAAATTGCCGAAATCAAATTCCTCGAAATTAGCTTATTTTTGAATAAAATAACGAATTAAAAAGCATAAAAAAAACCTAACTTGAAAAGAAAATATGTTTCAGTATTCTTAAGAGCTTTTAAGGCAATCCGTTTAAACAACTCTTTTCTCTCTTAAAATTTTCTTAACGAGGTAAACTGTCGAAATTGTAAGTTATAATCTGACTATCTTCGTAAATCAAAGAAGGAAAAAAAAACTGAACAATATAGTTCTTTTTTGTGACTTTTTTCTTGCAGAAATTATTAAAGGGACTTAGATGTATCTAAGAGTAAAAAAAGCAAAGCACAATTTTAATTCCTCTTTTCGATTAATTAATACGTTTATCACAACTTTTATTACTAATAACAGTATTATATAATATTAAATGCTCTTGAACAATTTAATATTGAAGAAAATGTTATAATTTAATTCTGAAAAAAAGTCACATAATTTATTAATATTTTTAACGAAATAAAATCACATAAAAATCAGCTAAATTAATAAAATAATGTTAATCGGTGAAATGTAAAATTTTTACACTATGTATTTAAAGAAATTAAACCATTAAACGCTACAAAAATCTCACACTTTTAGTTGTCTAGAAAAAAAATTAAAAAAAATATCCTAACAAATTAATATTTAAAAAATTAATATATTAAAGTAAATTTTATATTTTAATTCTGAAAGGAGCCACATTATTTTTTAATATTTTTAATGAAATAAAATCTCTCAAAAATCAACTACATCAATAAAAGAATGTCAATCGGTGAAATGTAAAAGTTCTAAACTATATATTTCAAGAAATTAAACCATTAAAATTTGAGAAAATCTGAAAAAAATTTTTTTTTAAATATCCTAAAAAATTTTTATTAAAAAAAATGAAATGCTAACATTTAAATTATGACTATGATAATTTTTTTCTATACGTAAAAAGGAAAACAAATCCGATAGAATAATTCTTTTTTTGTAAGAAAATGTCTCGATATCCTTATGAAATAGAAATTACTATAAAAAACTAGGAAGCAATAAAAAGAATGCAATTTTATGGACTAATAATTTAAGGTATATTTTCGTTATCGTTCCTAAGGTTTCAATTTTAACATTTTTACTGTTGGCTAAAGAAGCATACAAACAAATAAAAACATAATTTAAAAATTTTTACAAAGTATTTTGTGACTTGTTCATAAACTGTAAAACATGTTAGTGTCTCTCAGCACCAAAATTAAGGCAACTACTTTACACAAAGTGGTGTAGAAAAATACTACAGATAAATGTTCACACTACACACAGAACCAAAAATAGCTTCTGGTGTAGTCAAACACCAAAATCTTTCACTTATTCAAGCTGGTAAAAAGTAGCTGCCATCATCTTGACATTCCGTAAAATTGCCATTTATAAAAACAATAAGATTTGATACACGTACGAATCAGTAAAGCTATTTTTAAGAAACAATTTAAAGTAAGAACAGTTAGTTTAGGAAACATACACGCACTTATTCTTAAAATATAATCAGTTTGTAAATCAATTATAAGCGTAGCACGCAGATAATAAAATTAAGAGGAATTTGAATCAGGCTTGAAAAATAAAATATTATAAAACTATTTAATTAATTCATACATTTAAAATATAATTATCCTTATAACAACAACTAAAAACATACTTGCATTTAATTACGGGGAACTTCTGTTTCGATAGATGTATATCAATGGCAAAACAACAAACTCACGCTATTCCTTATTCAATAGTAAACTTTTTACAAAAAAAATGCCACTATTGGCGTGTTTGGGAAGCGAAAACTGTTCTCGAATGGTGTAAACAACGTTGAGCGTTATCTTGGTGTAATATCATCTTACATTGTTGTTAGATTAAACTACACCCTTTAAAGTATATATGAACCCTCGATTTGGTGTTAACTTATAATAAAGCATTCTTTCACACAATGCTTTGGGTTATTTAACAACGAATTAAGAGAGATATTACAATACTGTCATTTCAGAATGAGGAAAAATCGTTTCAAAAAATGCAAAGCTTTTCTACATTTCGTATTAAGGAACAGCTTAATTTTTTATAAAAAACTAAAAACTATAAGGAAAAACAAACTCTTTACAAAACAATTTGTTTTTATAATTTTATAAATTTGTTTTGATCGTTCGGCAATGTATTGTAAAGTTAGGTATCAAAATATTACCTTAAATTCTGTGACACCTTCTCCAATAGCTTCGACAGTTCCAGCGCATTCAAACCCCATCACGCATGGAGTTTTCGGGGGATTATCGATTGCCCCCTGTCGAGCCATCAGGTCCAAGAAATTCAAACCACTAAAATGAAAACAAAAATTACTTGACACTTGACGCAATTTTCAATACATTTAAATATAATTCGTTCATGAGCCTTGAAAAAACTGTTGAATCGTTAAAATTCTAATAAACCATATAACCATGTTACGAAACAAAAAAGGATCTAATATACAATAATTTTTACAGTAATAATTACTGTAAAATCATTCTAATTAAATAAATATTACTGTGAAACTTACGGCATAATCTTTGAAGGTAAAAATGGATTTATAGGTAAATGGATTTTACTGATGATCCACCCAAAATGTCGGTAAATTAATCAGAATTTTTCACATTGTACGGGTAAACTGGTTGAGACTGACTTAGGATAGCATGTTCGTTGTAAGAGTAAACCAGTTAAGAGGTTAATTATTTTTTAAAATAATTATAAAATCATATTAAAGTTTATTGCAATACTATAAGAGGTCTTTCTCCTCTCTATTGAACTCAACTGTCAAAAGGGTGAAGACGGGGAGGCGAAATTCAAAATCTCTTTATTTAATTTTCACAAATTAACTGTTGGTGGATTTTTACTCTATTTGGTTATGTCATTCAATACATGTAAAACATAAGGTCGCTAAAGTGTGCGGTATATTAGAATCTGTTTTAATTTTATTCGACAACATCCTACCAATACAGTTCTGCAATTAGAAGCTTTTGAAAGGCAGTTGAATGGTATATATTTGTCTGCTTTCAAATTTTTGATTAATATCTTTGTTTTAGAGCAATTTAGGTTATAAGAATTTTTTAATAGCATCCAAATCGGTTTTCATCAGTTTAAACTGATTAATTAAAGTTTTAAAATTTGAAAACTGATAAATCTGTAGTTCTAAATTTCAGAATCAAAACTACAAATCGCATATTTTCATTGATTTTATAATTTTGAAGGAAATTTCATAGAAGTTTTAAAAATTAAAAAGCGTTATTTTTTCGAATCTAATAAAGCGACTCCTTGATTTTCCACCTCTTTTGAAATGTATGAATAATCTATCATCGAATAATAATCTATCATCAAAAGTTTGTTGAGCACAAAAAAAAAAAAAAAAANAAACAACAAAAAAAAAAAAAAATCAAGAAAACGAAAATCAAAAACTCAACCTAAAATCTAAGATGGCGATGGTTGAGGTCACTTAAGAACTAGCAACATTATGGAAAGTCATTGAAGCTCCTATTTTGATACATTAATTAGTAAGATTAAGTCACTACTTAGCTGATAAAACAAACATAATCTTTGTTCAATAGATACGAAATTTGCGTAAAAACTTTTAAAATATAAGTCTCAGCCGTATTCTTGACTATGTCGTTTAATTGCCTTGGTGGCTCAGGGGCTAGAGCACTCGCCTTGCAATCAGGTGAACAGATTTCAAATCCCAGCTATTTCTGGTCGATTCGAATTCCGCACCGATCACAGTGCTGACGAAAATATCCTTGGTGTAGACGGATTCCTCTTGCCGTAAGGCTAACCATGGGAGGTTTTTGTGGTTTTCCTCTCCATGTGACGCAAATGCGGGTTAGTTCCATCAAAATGTCCTCCACGAAGGCAAAATTCTTCCAATACTTGATCCAAGAGTTCCCTTGTCATCTGGATTGGGTTCAAAATTATAAGTTTATGGAGTTGACCATTGGTAGACGAGCACCAAAAATTGAGACGGCTGTTTAACGACGGTTATAAAATAAAATAAACTATCATTTAATTTTTACATGTGTTGAAAGTTTACACTCCTTAATGTTTTATTTATTGAGCATTCTGTAATCTTTATGAACTCATTGCGAAAATCAAATATTTCCCGCAAGCAGTTTATAAAAATAATTTTCTTTATTTTAAGTAAGTGATAATTTTTACTTATTTATTTTATTCATTTATTTATTTTAATTATTTATTTTATTTACTTATTTATTTTATTTATTTATTTATTTATTCATTTTTTTGATCAAATTTTGAAAAGTCGAAAATTTGAATCCGTGAAAAAAATGAGAAATTTTTTTTTTAATGTTTCTTTAAAAAACATTTTTTTTTTCAATCTAACTTTTAACTTGGTTACAAAACAAATAAATATGAAATAATATATTATTATTTTTAATTATTTTAGTGCTTTAGTTAAGTGTTTAAAATAACTATGCAAAGCAAATTTTCTGTTAATTAAATTTAAAAAAATTTTATATAATAGTTAGACAATGACAAAAATAGTTTATAAATTTTTTTTAAAAATTTTGTGGCTTAAGAAGATTTTTCTGCTTTATGCATGAAAAATAATAGAAAAACTAGGAAATGGAATTCGGTAACTTTTGGAAGAAATAAAAAATAAATTAATAATAGGTAAAAAAAATCATAAAATTCACACACACCCCTCAAGAAAAAATAATTTTAAAAAAATTTCTCCATGCTAAAATTACTTTAAGTAAGAACGGATAAGAACCACGCTTTTCTTAATACATACATAATCTATATTATATAAAACGCTAATACGTACGTATGTATGTATCAATAAAACAGATGATATTTCTTTTCTCGCGCTGGCAACAGTTTTCATTTTTAATTGATTGGATTCGGCGCGCAAGAGCACGTAGTGAGCAACCAGATAACAATAACCAGAGTGAGCATTATCAGGTTGTCCAATTCAGATTCATGCACTAAAAACATGACAATATTTAATTTAAACTCAATTAGGAATTAATTAATTAATTGAAGTGAGAATGCTTTAAAAGGCCGCTGTTGAATTGATATTTTTCTACTGGGAGCTACCTAAACGTCCAAAAAAGTTTAAGTGTTTGTATAGAATGCATTGAATTTTTTTTATATTTCGCGTTTATTTATGCATTAAATTTTCACGCTTTAAAATGCAGAATATTAGTGAAGCAATATTTGATAATTTATTTTGCTAATATGTTTCTTATTTAGCTAATGTTTTGATTTTTTCACCATGTACAATCTAAATAGCTCATATACTTTTTTAAAAGCCAATAAGAACATTGGTAGAATTCTTCTACATAAGTACAATACTATGTCGTTGATGATAAAATACTATATCTTTGATGATAATATATTATGTCTTTGTGCTAGAACATTGTGTTCATTGGCGAGCGAGCGCAGCGAGCCATGGTTCACGGCGTGAACCACATAGGATTGCGTAGCAATTCTCGGGGGTCGGCGAGCGTTAGCGAGCAAGGGGCGGAGCCTCCTAGTTAAATTTAAAATATAAGCTTAAACTTAAAATGAATGCAACTCTGTTACACTTGTACATTACGCTAGTACATTGCTAGAATTTAAAAAATTTTACAATGCATGACGAACATTCCAATTTTTTTTTTATCGTTTTTTAAGTGTCGAATTAGTAAATATTTCCTTAAACTCATTCATCGCTTTGGAACTTTAATGTACTTAAACATTGTAAGCGAAAAACAACCTTAAATGACTCAAACAGACTTTTATGAGTTTGTTTTCTAAATAAAGATATTTAATGCTTCTTAACGGGGATGGCTATAAAGAAGATTGTCTACAATTAAAATAAGTTTCACTCACTGCTCGACCAGAAATAATATAGTCATCAATTTTAGCAATATTTTCTTGCATTTAATGAGCATCATGGTATTTTTGGTAATACGAAATGTTTTTATTAGACACTAAAATATCTATAACTCGACCATAAGTTGGTAATTTTTATAAGAGATCAATTTAAATATGAGAGATTAGTTTTACGATTATTTAAGTGTTTTGTCTCTTTTTCTAAACAATCTATCCAGAATCATTACTACTTTTAACCTGCATGAATTATTTTCGACTCCTTTTCAGATAAATAATAGCCTGAGTACGAAAAGCTAGTTTATTATAATATTTTTTTATAAAATTTTTTTATAAAATTTAATAACTAATACAAAATGATTGCAGTTGGGTCTGTCTAACCTTAGTGTGTTGAAAGTTAAAACCGAAATATTTTAAAAATTATTTAATAAGAAGTAGACCAAGTGCATTTAATTATAGATTGTTAAAAATTAATAAACATTGATTTATTACATTTACGACTGAGGATTCTATATTTGTTAGGAAAATTAGATTAGAAGAGGAGATGTTTAGTCCCTTTAAAATGTTATTAACCCAAAATGATTAACTCATGAGTTGGCAGACGCAGTTTTAATTAATTATAAAAAAATTTCCCAACCCGCCGCTATGAAAGAATTTCAAAATTTTGATTATTTATGGTAGTAAATATAACGTTTAAAAAAGAACATTGAATTATCAAAGACAGTTGAACTTGAAACCCTGAAAAGTTAACTAATTTAAATAATAGTAATAGGATATTTTTTAATATGAACTCTAATAGTTATAAAGAGTTTTTTTAGTGAAAATAATAATTTATGTTTTATTACGCATGTAAATATTATCAACTACAGCTATGATTTAACTGTAGAAATCACAATTTAAGGAATGGAAGACGTTTACTGATTTTAAATCTCGTTGGGTAGGATTTAGTTGATCTAGTTATGCCATCTAGTGTGAGGGATGTACAGTTTTAGAGTTTTTCATCATGTGAGTCAAATGGGGATGAGCAGAGTTGTATAACTTCTAATTAGCTGCTCGAGAGAGTTGAGAGTTCTGGTTGTTCAATGTGTCAATTAAAAGATGATGTGTATGAAGTAAAAATTTCTCTCTCTCTCTCTCTCTCTCACCCTGATAATAAATTTATTCAAATTGTTTATTCAATTGTTAGAGTTCATAATAATAGTCTTTAATACAACCTGAATAAAATTTTGACCGAGACAAGTTTTAGAGGACTTTATACATTATTATTAACTCGATAATAAATTTATTTAAATTTTTTATTTCTAAAGATAGAGTTCGAGACAATAATCAATCGAGGCATGCAGCCTGAATAGAATTTCGGCCGAGACAAATTTTAGAAGACTTGTAAACATATAGTACCTATTATATCTATTACTACCACCTATAATTATGATGACTATCTAATATAATTATCTCGATATTAAATTCATTCAAATTGATCACCTTTAAAAATAGAGTTCAAGAAATATCAGCATTTAAATAAATTAATTTAAATTTAATAAAATAATATAAATTTAATTTAAATTGTTTGCTTAATATAAGTGGCTAAGTCAAAGTTGATCTTAGTAAAACACATTTTAACTTGTTATTTTCCTCGTATGTTCAAAAATCAAAATTATTTTATAATAAATAATGTATTGCTTAAAAATATTCAATTGCTAAAAAATTGAAAAAGAAAGTGTATAAAAATATTAGTTGGAAAGTACCCAAAATGTATAAGGGAGGGGGGNGGGGGGGGGGGGGGGAGAAGTGGTAGTGTTCTGCAGAGAATGTGAACAATTTTATTTTAATTACTAGAAATATATCTTTTTTTTAGTTAATAATTGCACGAAAACTAAAAGCATTAAAATTTCATTAATTAAGTACCTCAAAACTATAGTTTTAAAGGGAAAAGTGCGTCCTCGTATTATTTGGGAAGTTTTTGTTTTTCACCGCCAGACGTCATATGAGTATTCAAACACAAGTTTCAAAACTTCGCAATTTTAACATATATTCATCATATTTTGATCGAATTTGAGTGTACTAAAAGTAATCAGTAAATTCCCATGTCTTGGTTGAAATGAAAGCTGTTATAGTTCTAGACCAGCTGATATTACGTTGTCCTAATCGTGCAGTTCAATAATCTAAGACAATTTTAATTTCATATTACGAAAATTTATTTTTAATTTTATCATTTATCAGCTTGAAAACGGTTTAAAACTAAGTCTAACTGATCTTTAAATCCTCTTAACCAATATTTGTAATGCAGTGAAGTAATTCAAGTAGACTTCCAATGAAGTCAAAAGCATACAGACATGACAATATTTAAATTGTTTTGTAAATAAGAATTTGCCATTTCATCTACATATTTTAGAAACTTATTTTCAGTTATTATTTTTGTACTCTAAGAAAACATTAAATTCTCCATAAAAAGTTTTATCAGTTCATTAAAATATTATCCTAATCATTATACAATAAACGTTTCGAGAATTATTTATATTATTTCACATTAATAACTTCCTTACGTCTTCTCAGAAAACTCATAAACGCATTAGAAGTTGCTCTTCAAAGCACAAACGCTTCTACTCTGGAGAAATTAAGCAACTAATGAACAGAACATTTAGTTTAAGTACCTTCTCATGTAATGCAAAAAAAAAATTATTTACTCAATTAAAGTGCTAGTGCAAAAACATGATTTTGAACAAAATATAAGAAATTGAGTTTATTATAAATTTAGAATCTCTGTACTCTTAGCTTTTTGAAAATACTTTACTTTTGTTTGTACTCCAAATATTTGCAAAGTTATAGCAGTTTTTGTGTAAGGTGATAACAGTGGAGAGACTAATAATCAGTTTAATACTCTAAATGCTTTTATCTCAAAATTAGATTTTGTTTCACATTTTACCCCACCTTAAACACGTTATCTCATATTATTTTTAAATTAATTGTCTGCAATTTTTCATAGGCGTTTATGATAATAGCGGACATATTTTGAACTACAGATTAAGAGAAAAAAGTTTAATTTCAATTTTTATGCATGTTTTTTCGAAAATACAATTGCGGAAGTTCTTAAAAATGTGCTTTCTTAAATACATTGATCCTCAACTCAGTAGTCTATGCGCTTGCTTTTAAGATAATTAAGTTAATAGTTCAAAACAAAGTTGATAGCCTTTTAATTAAAAACCTCAAAGGATTTTTATTTTGGGTTATAGAAATTTTCATGCAGTGTTTAGAGATATGCAGAAAAATGCCTTATTTCCACCTGAACATGGTTATTTAAAGAAAAAAAAGAGTATTTTTTCACTACTTTTATAAGTATAAGTTTTATAATTTCAAAATTTGATACTTATACTTTTTAAATTTTTTTTTTTTAAAGAGACATTTTTTGCAGTGTTTAGAGATATGCAGAAAATGTCTTATTTTCACCTAAACATAGTTATTTAAAGAAAAAACGGTATTTTTTCGCTAAGTATAAGTTTCATAATTTCAAAATTTGATGTTAATATTTTGAAAAAAGTTATCGACACTTGGCGGATACCTTGAATTTTAAACGTCTACTAATTCAGATGCAATTACTTAATACCATATTTAATAAAATACTGTGAATAAATTTATGATAAAAGAAATTAAATTAAAAATATATTCATTTGTTTCGCACATTTTTTACAACTAATAAAAAAATGTAAATATTACAAGTACATTTTCAATTTTTAAATGACTTTGGTTTTAGTGGCTTTAAACACTTACTTCAATAATAGCTAAAAATAATTTCTAATATATATAAATAATAAAACTTTTCCAAAACATTTAAGCATTCTCTCTATTAACTGAATGATTGATATCAATGAACATACAATAATTTCTAAATTATGCATCGAATTTAGCTAATAATATTTATGAAGAAAATCTATTCTCTTGCTTAATAAATTAAAATTAATCAAATACAAATTCTAATTATACAAATGTAATAAAATTCTCAATATACAAATATTAATTTCTGTGCATTATTAACAGGTCTAAAAAGCGTTAGACGAAAATTAAACAAAATTGGAATAAAGGTAATTGAAACATTTAAATAATAAAATAAAACATTGTTTTGCCCTGTTTTTTTATTGCCGGAAGTGAATTATAATAAACATTAAATCATATAAATTTAAAAAACGTGTAATTTTGTCAAAATTGCTCTGAGTTTGACATCAGTTTCTTCTTTTGAAAAAAAAAAGTTTAATTACAGACCACACAGAGAAAAAAATTATGGCCAAAACTACCGGAATATGGTAGAATTTCCTGTGTTCCATATTTTTTGGGAATACCAAAAAGCTAGGTAATTTTGACTGAAGCGCTTTGGTAATGATATTGTTGAAATTAACAATAAAATATAGCTTTATAATATGTAATAAAATGTGAGAAAAATGGCAAAATTTGATAATTTTATCACGATATCTTAGAGTATGGTATAAAAATTATTTATCCGGTTAATTTTAGTTTTTAATTTTGTACGTTTTACTAAAAATGTGGCATTGAGAACTATACTTTTAAAAATCAGATTTTCCGACAAACCGTTGCCAGATGAATGGAAAAATTGCCAAATAAATGATTTAAAAACTCTATCTTTTTGTTTTATTAACCAGTATTATAATTTTCTTTACTAAAAATTAAATACAGTGCAGTAATTTCACCATTTTTTTTCTCCGTGTACATTAAAAAATTTATTTATTATCAATTATTACTCTAACACAAAATTTTTATTATTAGTCATTTAGCCATAGGATTTCGGTTATTTTTTGGCCTAATAATATTTTTTTTAAAAAATTGACCATTGCGAAATTGATCGAAATTTATTGATATTGAAATAGTGTAAGCAAAGATTTTCAAGATTGATTAATTAATTATTTTTTAATAAAAAAAAACAATTATGCTTCTTGTAAAGCTGAAAAGATTCGGGGGATTTAATATATTAAATATAGAAAGATTTGCATGTATGTTACGTCAACAACTAGTTTAAAAAAAATCTACAAAAATATAATGAAAAGAGAGAGCATGAAGATAGTTCAAAAACTTGTAAATTGTTTTTTTTCTTCTCAATTTAAATCCTATTTCTGTTTACAATGAAAATTAAACTAATTTGTTTTACCCACTAAAACAATTTGTTTATAAATATTTTTCTAAAACAAATATTAAATTAATTAGTTACTAATAAATAAGATTAAGCAGATTATTAACCGATTCTTTGAAAATCGAACAATATGTTTTTCAAGCAAAATAAAAAATAAGTCGTTGCAACTTTCATCGAAAGAAAATCTTTTAGTAGTCACTCTTAAAATGAAGAAAGTTTTTTATACTAATAATTTTCACGAATAAAAACCATAAAACAAATATTAAATTAATTAGTTAATAAGCAATTATTGTAATTAGATTAATGAATAGTTATAAAAATCCCAGTTATACATATTTCAGATACAAAAAAGGCGTTGAAACTTATATAGTAAATATATGCATAAAATTACCTTTGGATAGTTATAAATGAGAGCGGCTTACTTGTTAATAATAAAAAGTTAACATAGGGACTTCAGGATTTATTTATTTTCTTAATAACCATTCCTGAAAATATGTTATAATGAAAAAGGTGTTAAGGACTTGGTATCGGCATTAAGTTAGAAACTCTGTGTGTTTTATAATGTCTAACTAGACATAATCCATTCATGTTTGTGACCCTCGCTTAAGAACTAAGGACAAAATTTTATATGTGAAAAAAAAAATAATGTGGTTACCATTTGACATCTTTCAGGATATATATATCGAAATATAATAAATTTATGAGACGAGAATCTTTCACAATTAAAAATTCTAGACATTTCTCTTATAAAAAATTTTCATTCAAAAATTTAATTATCCATGAGAAAAAAAATTTATTAATTTCGTGACGAAATACAGTTTAATATTGATCAACAAATATGAATGAAAAAAAAAGTATTTAAATTTAATAAAATCTTGGAAATGCTGACACATGACATTAACATATGGTCTCAAAATGTCAGAAGTTAACCTAACAGATGGTCTGGTTCAAACCGTGACAATGAAAACTGGTAATCGTTTCTTTAATCATAAATAAAAGAATTTTATGCACTGATTTATGTTCAAGTGCCTCATGACTAAAATGTGACACCTGAAACAGATTGACATACCATGCTTTTACTCTAATCAACACTTCACCCTCGGCCGGTGACGGCTCCGGCTTTTTCATGACTTTGACCGCTTTTAAGCCTCCGAATCCCGACAGCACGATGGCCCGCATCTCCTTAGGTGGTGGAGCAGACGATTCTTCAGCATTTTCGGTTGTGTTGTTTTCTGTCGCTTTTGAATCGTCTGTTTTTGAGTCACCCATTTCTTCTATGATTATAAATAGTAAGAATCAACTATTGTCTTCCAGTGGTCGAACCCGAAACTTCTCTATCTACTCTAGAATGACAGATGGTTTAATTGCTAGCGAGCCGCATCGCTGGTTAAGGTTGCTATTTCTGTGGAATTTTCTTCGCCAATAGGAATGGTCGCCAAAGCGCCAACAATGAAAAAGCAGTCGAGAATGTTTTTTTCTCCTGCAGTTCTGATAAATAGTTCCAGTTTGCCGTAAAAAAAACGAAAGTGAAAAGGTATAAATGATAAATCGAGGAAGCTTTCCTGATATAAGGATTTTTTTTCCCTTTTTTTTCTTTCATTTGTCCACAGCGCATAACATTGTCGTGTGTGTAAGTGGGTTCATAATTCTATCAACCAGGGAAGTTTATTAGGTTATCTCCCTTTTTATTCTCTGATCTGAAGTGGTTTATATTTTGATTAAAAAAAATGTATGGTGATAGACGACATTTGAGCACGTTTTGCTATGTTTAGAAAATAATTTAAATATAGTTCCTAAAATGCAGTTGAGAAATAAATTAATGCTAAAACTCTGTATAAAAATTCTGTAGACTAAAACTCTCTTATTCGTTTTAATTAAAGTCTTGCGACATTCCTTTATTCAGAATTAAACATTTTTATTACCATTAAGAAAAATCAAACTTCTTTTTATAAGGTTCTATATTTTTAATGAAGACATAAGCTTTTGTTTTTGAAATACAAAATATATTTTATGAATTTTTAGTTTGATCTTCCTAATTTTCAACAATTTTTATTAAAATTATAAAATATTGTCTTTACATTTAATATTTTTAGTGCCATTAAAAGTAAACTATTAAACAATCATTAAAATAATTTTTAGGGAAAAGGATTTGAGGTCATTTTTAGAAACGTCAAAAAGGTTAGAGAAATTTTTTCCTTTTTATTGAGCAACTAGCCGCCTAAGGCGGCCAGCTGTCCGCCACGCTAAAGGTTTTCACAAATAAAGTTTTTTTAAAACATAGCAGGAAATCTGAAGATTAGTGGACAATTAAAGTGTTCCTGTCCTGCAATTTTGTCTTCATATCCAGTTCTGCTGCAGATGTGTTATAGCTCTTGAGGATGTTTGAAATTATATAGCTACAACGCTTAAGAAAAAAAAACTAAAATGCTAAATACATGAAAAGAACACGAAAACGAATAAATTTTTTATGGTATCAATTTCTATTTCTATATAATTTTTTATGGTATCAAATTCTATTTCTATATCTGTTACGTCAAGCACTCAGGTATTATAATTTGATCTAGTTGTGCTTGTATAATTTTGATCTAGTTGCGCTTTCTACGTCATTTTGTTAACATCGTTTGGTTTGTTATTTAACATCGTTTGGTTTGTTATTTCTAAGTTAACTTTCAAAAAATTGGCTGGCATCAGCATTTTTATTCTTTAAGTTGTTTATTTTTTCTTTTGGAATTCGTTCCTTTTTAGCGAAATGTTTTTCAACCTAATCGAATTCTTTGCCGACTGTTCTCTGTATATATAAAGAAAATAAAGTAAATATTTTTAAAGTGTTGTGAAAAGAATTTTTAGTTGTACAAAGTACTACAATATCGCTACAAAAATTATCGTCTTCGCTTAAGAAAAAAAAAATAGAGCGTGGAAAGAAGAAGAAAAACTTATTATAACAATTATGAACAGCGACAAATATAGTATTGAGTATTGAGTATAGTAAAGTGCGGCGTGCTCTCTGCTTTCGCTTATAGCACTGCGTTTCAATAGGTAAGGCTTAATTTAGCCTAACAGGATTTATTTGAGCTCTGAGGCTCTTCTTCAAATTCCTTGCGACAAATATATCAAAGCGAAGCGTTCTATTTACGTATCGAATATGTTGCCACATTTTTAATACCAAAGTTAAACTTCTCTCCACTTTGATAAATGTAAACTAATGCGAACCTTACAATTTAATTATTAATTCCTTCGAATATTATTGGTTTAAGTTGTCGAAAATTAATATTTCAATTGTAAGGTTCGCATTAGCATACATTTATAAGAGTGGAGAAAAGTATATGCATTTTTTAATAGTTTTTTGAATATGGCTCTTTGAAGACGAAAAAGCACAGATTTTCTTACAAAATGACTGATAACTAAAAAACTAATCCAAATTTTTGAAAAATTAAAAAAAAAATACTTCTTCATTATGTCAAAACACAATTATGTGCCGAGTTTCGTGCCTGGGTGAGGCTTCTGGGGCGATATATTGTGATTACAGACAGACAGACAAACAGACACACACACAGCCGCGTTTATTATTATGTATAGATGTAAAATATACTTCCAGTTTCCAAACTGAATAATATTTTGCAGATTTCAGGTAAATGCTGTTTGGTAAAAATTTTGTTTCTTCGTTGTATCGTGAAAAGGACTTTTGATATAAGTAGAAGAAAAGGAAAAGTAATCACTACGTAAAATTTTTACTTATCTGAGAACTTTCGTCAAAATGGATTCCACTACAGGCTTAAAGAAGTTTTGCCCAACTTACTCAATTTATGACAGATTTTTATTTTTTACATATTTTGTAGTAGGTGATATTGTTTAAGTTATGTTTAGTTTAGCCGATCCTGTCACTTATGCATATAGGAAAAAATACTGAATAGGTAATTTTGTAAAATTACTGTACTCAATGGTAATGACATTTCTGGTAAAAAAGAAACATAGTTCAGGCTAATAAAACCAAACTATACGGTATTTGAACCATTAATTTTGGCAAATTTCCAGAATTTTATTGCAACTGTTTAACGGAAATTCTGATTTTCAAAGTTATAGTTCTTATTTCTACTTATAGTAAAAGTTCAAAATTAAAAAGCAAACTTAACCTAATAAATGATTTTTATGCTATGCTCTAAGGTATCGTGACAAAATTACCAAATTTTACAATATTTATCGAATGTCGTCACATATTATAAAATCATATTTTATTGTTAATTTTACCAAAATCATGACCAAAGCACACTGGTAAAAATTACCAAAGTGTTCCGTTGTTACCAAAAATACAGTGAATATTTTTGTCATTTTGATCATATCCTTTTTCTCAATGTACCATTTGTATCTATATTTTATCTCTTTATCATTGTCTTCTTATTTTTTAAAACAGTATTTCCTGTAGATGTTGTTCACTTTCTTAAAATGGCTTCACCTTTCTACTGTGTTTAACAAAATTAACATATGATTCGGACTGAATAGATATGCTCCTTTTCGAAACAAACGTTGACGTCAAGTTATCAATATCCCGAGCTAAACTTTTGTATGTGATAATACGTAAAAAAAGTAATAATAAGTACATTTCTCGTTTCATTTTTACATTGAAGATCAACGTTTTTATTTTTTCCGAACTGCTGAAATTTTCTTTTTTAAACAGTTTTTTTTCAAATATTTTGGTTTCAAAACTTTATATTTTAACCAAGGGCGCCGTCAGTGGGGTGTAAAGGGGTGCACTTACACCCCCTGGCTTTTTTTTAAACAATTAAAGAGATACAGAAAAATTTTGTTATAAAACTTTTTTATTAAACAAATATTTTTATTGAAAAACAAATAATTAAGTAATTATTGATTCATAACAATTAAAAAATTGTTTAATAAATCAAGAATTGTAATCGTCTTGTTTGCTGTCCAAATCTGTTTTTAACTTTTTCAATGAATTCTGAGTCATCTTTGATTCTTTTCTTATGCACACTGAGTATGCACAAACTTGTCAGATATCTAAGCTATGTTTTTAAATTTAATTTAATAAAATATAAATAATATTATATTTTCCATTAGTTATTTAGTTTACAAAGGTGTTTAACACAAACTGACTTCTCACAATTGTAAAACTTCATCAACACAATAAATACCAATGTTAAGTGTGCACAAACACGTTAGTATACGAAACTACTGTTTGTAGTTATTTGTGTTTCAAAGTCAGTAGCTATGCCAGCGCCATCGATACAGTTTCTCTGGGCAAAATTTGCAAGTACAAGAGATTCGTACTTTTTTTTAAATATCTTGCTAACAATGAAGAAATGCATCTCGTAAAAATTAACAGATGAAAGTATATGTAGTAACAAAACAAAATATAATAGCAGAATATTTTAATTTTTTTTCGGGGGGGGGGTAGTTTGTTAGAGGGTTGCACCCCCTTTTATATTATTCTGCCGGCGCCCTTGTTTTTTACTTAAAATAGGATTTTAATGAAAGTCGTTTACTAAAGAATAAGAGGAAAAATTTTGTTCCTAAATAAATTTACTCACTTTTTTTTTTTGAAGATTGAAGTAAAAAAAGCATGTTTTAAAATTTTCGAGAGCAACATTTTAGTATATTCATGAAGTTTTTTTCCTTTGTTTTTATTGTACTGTTTCAAATTAATTAAATCGAAATGTATCAACCAGTTCCAGGCATTTCTGGTCATAGAAAGGACTAGAAAAACTTTTTCCCTCTATAATTTGAGCACTATCTTTATGCTTTAAAGCTGATAATTTTTAATTACATTTTTTATATGAATTTAAAATAGAATTTAAATTAATGTTTAAATTATTTATTTCCACACTTGCACCTGTTTATTGACTTAAAATTAGTCTTCTTTTACATCTGTTATGTTCTGTGTTCTATTATGAAAGGGAAATTTTATAATATGTATGGGAACACTTTTCAATCATCTTTTTTTATGCTAAAGTAATATATTTAAATAACTGCGACTCAGTATTAAATTGGTAACGGTAAAACAATAAGTTAATAAAAAATATGTCATGATTCAAATTAAAGAAATGAATGTCTAATAATGTAATAAACTATTGTTTTTATAATGGCACGAAATTCCCAAATTGTATTGCTTAATTCACTGTCATGTGTTTTTGATAAAAAATGACTCTTTACTAAAAAATAAAAATATTTCAGCAATTGAATAAGAAAGTGTAGATATAAATATAATTTTTTTAATAAAGTAAATATCTTAAATATCTTATATATATATGTACATATATAAAATCTTTTCTGCGTTTTATTATGTTATGTATGCATTACGGTATAATAGCATTTTGCAAAGAAATATAGATATTTTGCTTATTGTAATATTTTAATATTCAATATCAAATTATAATACTAAATTAG